AATGTCAGCTAAACTCGGGCCACTTCGATGTGCCTTGTATCCTGAGTTTGTATGATTTGATTCTTCTTTCTTAGGCATGCCACCTACGCTACTGCTCGAACCATTCAAGACAACCATATGATCAAAAGTATCGTTAAAGCTACATAATACCTCTTTCCTTTTCATCTACTTCTTTTTATCCACTCCCTCCTGTGAACACATGATTTCAACAACATTTGAAGCACCATATTCATTATCGATAAATTTTCTCCAAAAATCAGTATCGTAACCCCGAGGCCTGGTATCATTCTCATCATAATCAGGGGTATCAATGCCTAAGTCAAATGCAGGAAAGCCTTCGCCTCCAACTTTTGATTCTTCTTCATCAGATTCAGATTCAATATCAGGTTTCTTTCCCTTGGCCACAGAATAGAGAGCTTCGGCAAGTTCCGCTTCCGCTATTAGGTCTTCATCAGTGAGAATGGGGTTTGCCTTAGATCAGACTGACCCTAAACCAACATGTTCACCCGACAAATCGTTTGAGGGGACTTTGGTGTTGGATTTGTTGCTCAAACAAGGGGTAGTAAAGACGCGTTGCCGTTTTGTCTCTGTACCAGGAGTTGAAAATCCACTACTTGATTGAGATGCCCCATCAGAACTTCGTTTAGCAGATGAGTGAAACTTCACAAACAAAGTAAGAGATTTGTTCACCCTCAACTGACTAACAAAGAAATCAAGGGCACCATTGCTTGTGAGCAACACCGGCGGCGTTTTAACACCGGTTACGAATGACCCACTGTTCACAGGCCAATAACTAAGACTCGTGATATGCTCGTCCTCAGACAAACCAAACTCAGTCACAACACTGTCTGAAAACTCAGACAGCTTAATACCAAGTTTCAGAACAACAATCCTTGACATACGGTACTTGTCGATCACAAAATCCCAAGTCTCGTCTTCTCTGAAACGCCATTTGCCGCAAATCACTAGGCAGTCCTCCGGCGTTGAGATATCAAAAATCATCGATGTGTCCACCGTAATAGCAACCACGAAAAAAAGCTCCAACTTGGTTGTACACGAAAACCTTATCCTCAACTATAGTTGGTCACAGCTCACATTAGAGACATTTTTGTCTTTCCAAATGCCAAAAACAAGGAAAAGTGTGTCTAAGAAAAAAAGTGCCCCAACAGAAAAAAGCCAAAGAAAGTGTCTCTGAATGTAATTATTTCTCCATCAAAACTACGATTTGAAATTCAAATCTTACTGTGTATTCTCAAAAGAAATTTTGGAAGGCACTCCAAAAACTCAAATCTACTTGGCCGACTCACCAAGATGCACAAAATGAGTTTGAGAAAGATCATCAATTGTGTCTTGTAGCAAAAGGCCTCAATCCACAAAATCATAATCCAGCTAAAATCAATACTAATCTTCCAAAGTATTAGATTTTATCAATAAAGTGGAAGCGAAAATGAATTTCTTCAGATGATCTCGTTAAATTGGTAAATATTGAGCTGCGGTTTCTTTCTGACCTTTATCTTTACCATTATGATATGTATATAGTGGATGGTCATCCAATCCCTTATATATTACTTGGGAAGTGACTTTTTGGAGTTTGTGTACATGTCAACTCCACAATCACTCTTAGCAAATAATTATGACATGGCATAACATTTATTGTGACTTGAAAAAACATTTATATTGTAATTAACTTTTGATTTAAAAATTCAATCTCATAAAATATCTCGTCGAATCTTCTTAAAACATGTTTTAAAGTTTCACTTACAAATCACATAACAAAATACATACCTACGTACAACTATTAAAAGTATATGTTATCTTATAACTAAGCTAATTTAAAAAACCCTTAAATCTCTTAACAAAGTACATGTACCTATATATGTACAAATATTAAAAATATATGCTAATTTAAAAATATATGATAATTTATACAAATATTAAAATTATAAAATTTATAAACTTTTTTAAATTAGCATATACTTTTAATATTTGTATATACTTTAATGAGAGAAATTCATCTCTAAATCTTATATTTTCGTAATTATTCCATATAAATAAAAGAATCATTTTTCTTTAACAAAATATTAAAAAGTGTAAACATATTTTTTATATCCTTATATTAATAGGACACAACAAACGTTTGAAAGACAACAAAAAAAAGGAAAAGATAGAGTATATGGTTTATGTTGTATGAAAAATTATTAATTTTTATTTGCTTACGAAGAATTGCTCATACAACGTCGATTTCAGTTTTTATTCAAAATTCAATKTAAAAAAAAAAAATTTCTTAAAAAAAGATTATCAAATAGGGGGTTTAATCTTTTAGAGAGGAATCTCAACTTTGTATAATAGATTATGTACTCTAATGTATTAAATTATTATACATTTGATTTGACACGTTGTATTATTAACAAAAAAAATTATTGACAAAAAAAATTAACAACAATATATCAACAAAAATGTATATAATATAAATCAAAATACATATTTTCACATTTTTAAAATGTAAAACTAAAAAAAATTATAAATAAATTAACCGCGTATACGCGGGCAAGTCACCTAGTCAAGAAGCAAATGATTTAACAATGGTATAGTATGTTGGCTAAAGGTAACTATGGATTCTATCGAGGTCAAGTAGGGTTAGTTATTGGAGATTTTAATGACAACAAATTTGGACATGAGAAAGAGGAAGGCTCTTAGAGCATGTTTATCAATGAGACTTTTAAGAGTTTCAAGTAATAAAAAAAGGAAAAAATGGTAACAAAGGAGAGAGAAGAAGAGATGGGAAGAGAGAGTCTCAGTATACAGAAACGTTTCACAGCATTTTTAGAGACTTTTGTACAAGTGTCACAATTTGATTGGTTATATCTATTTTTATTGCTTTAA